CACACACACACACACACACACACACACACACACACACACGGTTGTGTTGCTCGAGCTGAAAGGACTGTTTTCGTTTACTTTATTTTTTTTTTTCCATTCTCACCAAACGACTTCAGTAACGTTTCAAAAGTCCGACAGACAAAAGATGCGCGTTTCAGGAAAGTAAAAATCCTCAGAAATTATTTATGAAGGCCCGTTGGTTACCTGTCACCGCTCTGCCTCCCACCCGCTGCTTTCAGCCAATCACAAATCGAGGCCCTCCGCTTGCCTCCTAGAAATAAAGGGCAATAAAATAATGACACCGCCATAAATTATTAACACAGTTTATGCAGGCATGAGTTGGATCTAATGGTCGGATCAGACTTCCATCTGCAGCGTTTTTGTGCTGAAAGATCAAGTTTCTCCCCCAAACATTGGGGGGTGAAATTATAAGAAGGGGGAACAAAACTTTTGGGTTTGATCTGCAAAGCTTGTTGTTGTTATTTAATTTACAGCTCTCATGCAAATCACGCACCGAATGTGGAGAACCAGAGGGTCTTTGACGCGTTTGGTCTGACGGGAGATTCCATGATGGTTGCGTTAAACCATCAAAAAAACACGAGACAGAACTTCAAAATAAGAATAAAAATCCCATCTTCTGGTAAGATCTGAAGCTAAAACTGTCGACAAGTTTTCTTATTTGATCAAACGTGATGTTGGCGTCCGTTATTATTGTAACCATTATCTGCAGAAAGTTAGAGATGTTATTGTTTACCTTCAACAGGTGGGATGCTGGGCAGGTTGAGGTCTCACTGTTGCATGCACATTAATTATTGACACATGGTCGTTATGAAAAAAAAAATACTACTAACAGAGTGCTGGAGAAGTGGAGAGAACCTGAGACGCAATGACGCCGGTTGTTGATGCTGTTGTAAGAAAAACCTCGGAGTCATGTTGTGCTTTACATGCTACCTTACAGTTGTTGTTGTTGACCAGATTCCTTTAAAATATATATAGTGTTATTTACTAAATCATCCATTTTGTGCAGTCTGTTTTGCTTTTATTAGTCAATTAACAAACTGAACTTACATCAGGATGGACAATAATATCAAAAAGTACATTAAGTTGCATGTAAACAAGTTTTCTTAAAACTTCAGCAAAAGTCATTCCAATGTGCYTTCAGTGTGTTTTACGGTTCGTGCATTCCTTAACTTAAATTTTATTAAAAGACAGCCACTTGCATTTTGTATGAGAAATGGGGAGCCGACTTGTGTGCAGTCCAAAAACCTCTCTCTGGGGATCTGGAACAAAAGGCAAAACTGGGCCATAGTTTCCATCTGCTGTCTCGGGGAGAGATGGGGAGAGGTTGGTGACTGAGGATATCATGGAGAAACAGAATGAAAAGTGTGAGGCTTTGAAAAAAAATAAAGAAGAAGAAGAAAGGTCAGAGACAACAGAATCCTGGGACATAATGAGTTGTTACAAAGAGGGAGAATTAGCCAGAATCTGATAATGCTGAGATCAATTAATTTCCATTTAAGTCAGCCAACTGTAACCACAGCTACTTCTTTGTTGGATATTTCCCTTAAATTAGCCCGGAGGCCTGTCCTCTCTCATTAGCCACTGCAGCCCTATATTATCATGGACTGTAGCGTAACCTGTGGTGACCACACAGACAAACACACAATGCTGCAGTGACGCAATGAACACCTGCTGCATTGCATGCTCCAACTCACTCACTTCTTATTAATTCTTAATATGTTTCAGTTGAAGTTTTTTACGCACYGTTCTACAAACTGAAAACAAAGTTGTTTGAGTTCCAGGGAAAGATTAAAAAAAGAACACCTTATTATAAACAATAATAAAATTCATTCTTATTGCTTTTTCAATACAATGTTCAAAATGTAAAAAATAAAACTTTTCACATTTTTAGAAATAATTTGTGAAACATATTTGCTGAATTTGCTTTTTCAGTATTTTTAAGTTAGATCAGTATAAGCAACCAATAATAACTTATTTGAATTGTCCCCGTTTTGTAAAATTGATTTTGCATAAAAAGCATCATATTCAACAGGGGACCTTAATAAAATGAGAAAGTGTAACAGATGAAAATTAAAATATGAAGAGGTTTGCTAATTTGAGTWGACAAAGCTGTTTTATGTTGGAAACTCAAAAACAATTTGTTCATTTGCAATTCAAGTCCTGTGCTTTAAAAATTCAACATCTCACATTTCTTAATACGGTCAGCTGTAAGAATATTTTCAGCTGACTGTTTGGAGACACACTGAAAAACAATCTTTATCATATTAGTATATTATTATTTAAAGTCTGAAACAAGATAATTAGAAATACATTGAATGAAACAACAATTTTAGGTAAATTTTGATTTATGAGACTTGAATGTGC